ATTTTGATAAGAAATCCATAAAATATCCAATTTCAAAGTCAAAAGCAAAAAAAGAACGCGAAGCATGGGCCGAAGGCCCAGCTGAGCCAGTCACGAGATAGAAATCCAATAGAGATAGACAGATTTTCATACATAGTATCAAGTATTCAACATGTACCAAGCTTTTCCACTACACCCACACATAGATATATATGCATTGGCAATCCACATTTACAGTCATTTTATTAATATACGTCAAAAGACTTCTTTTTTTTTCAAATGTACCCAGTTGACCTTTGCCATTTTAAGTGATAGGCGGCGCGGTGTTTGATTGTGGGGTAGTGGTTGAAAATGTCTATGGACAAGTTTGTTATGGTTATGCGATGGTGAGGCGATTGTTTGATATTGGGCTTTTTGTGTGGAAATCTTTAAAGATATGTTTTATGGTACTAATTGGTAAATTGGATTGCAATCGATCAATATGTAATTGTTGTTTATCGATGTTGATGTGTGTTGTTTTTATTGGGTTTTGTGATAGATAGGTGTTGGTGGTTTAGTTTATGGTGAGAAGGAGTTGGTTTTGATTGGTATAGCCTCTGAATGGTTTTGGTTTTTGGAGAAACTGTTTTTGGGTCTTGGGTTTTTTTTTATTTTTTTTTGATTATTATGGTTGTTTTGGAATGGTTCAATTGCATGAATTTATTTGTGATGGGTTTTGATTGGTTGTAGTGGTGGATTAAGTGGTATAGTTTAAGTTTTATTTCTCTGGCTGGAGCTGCATTAGTTGTAGTTTTCAGTGATTTTATTTTCGTGTGAAAAGTCAGTCTTTTAGTCGACATGATGCATCATTTCAGTTTGGTTTACTGTAGGTTCTGTTATTGGAATGCTTTATTTAAGAAATTGATTTTCATGAGGAAGCTAGTTGTATAGGTGATCGGAATGTAGTTTTTGAAGGATATATGTTTGGGCGAATGATATAGATAAATATAGTGCAGCTATGAGGATAAAAGTGATTGACGTAGTTGAAGTTTAAAATGTGACTGTTGGTTAGTGCTGTTGAAATAATACGTTGACGCTTGTGATGTTGTATACTAGAATGTGTTTTTTTTCTTAATGTTCGATAGATTGTTTGAAGAAAGCAATATGGGCCGTACTATCGAATTTCCGTCTGTGACATTTCATTAAGGAACCATATTATAGTCTAGAGCCATCGCGAGTTGTAGGTAAATGTAAATCTAGAATATAATAGAGAAAGCTTGAATAGAGATGAATTTGTGAAGAAGAAGAAAGTTATAACAAGTTATTAACAACAGAACATATGATCATGAATACATGTATAAATATAAGATATAGTGATTAAAAACGAAAGTGTCTATTTTTTTGCTGCTTCCCGATGACGTCTTGCTTTTTCAAATTCATCTGGATCACCTAGTCGTGGTTCATTGGCTCCGATCGATGAATTACTCGAACTTTGACTTTGAGTAGAATCAGTAGTTCGTCTTTGACGTTGATTAAAATATTCATCGGGACCTATGAGTTCAATGAAAGAGGTAAACACATCGTTGTAAAAAGAAAGAACTAACCCATAATGTAAACAATTGCTCGTTTCTTCCAATATTTAGCTGATTGTTGTTCTTCAGCAGTTCTTGGTTCACGTGTTAATGAACCAGCATCTTCTGGATTAAGAAGAACAATCGCTGGTTGCCGAACATTAATTTCGACTGTTCGTCGATATTTATCTGTTGCCTACAAATAAATCTTTATGGATAGATATAAATAATTAATGATGTCTTACATTTAGTTTGCCATTTTGTGATAAAAGACCTTTTTTCTTCGGATAATTTAATGATAAAAATTCATCCCATGGTATGTCATCATACACCGAATAACGTGCATAATCATGCCATGAATCTAAATTCCATCGTTCTTTAAAATAATTAACATAACCTGGTAATGATAATGCAAACGAAGTTTTTCCTGTTCCAGTTGGTCCAATTAAAATTAAACATTTAGCTCGTGTCGTACGTGGAAAATGATGTCGTATCCAACGATTAACAACTTCTTTTAATTGTGGTGTACATTGCGGAAATGAATCAGGCCATAAATTTTCTTTATAAACTTCATCAGTTTCACGAATATGTTGTTGTTTTCGTCCATTAATAAAATTAAATGTAGATAAATACCATGAACTATGAGGAAGAAATTTATCGGGCATCACTTGCATTATATAATCCATAGCTTGATAAACGTTAGTTGCAGCTAATGTAAATGCTTGTCGTGCAATTTCTTTATTTTGTTGTTGTCGTTGTTCTGTTTTTGCTCTTGCTGTCATTGCACGAGTTGAAATCACTGGAGCAGATGTTGATGATGCTGATAATAATTGTTGTATTTGATCATTATGTTGTCGTAGGGATCGAAAGGAACCAAATTCAATATAGTTACCACCCTTTTTCATGTATGCATTCCATGCAATATCATTCCCTGTTACTTGATAATTACAATGCGTTTGTGTAACATCATCAACAAATGGTTTTCTTCGATTAATTTTGTCTGTAAATATAACTTGAATATGTAAATGACGTCGATGACTGACTTCACCAATTTCTTCACTAATGCAAATGTATTGGATTTTACCTAAACCAAAGTCACGTTTGATATATTGCATCACTAAATCTTTAGAAACATCAGTCCATGATGTTATAGCAAATGATTTGGCATTGAATCGATCATTTGATAAAGTTGGTGTAGGTTGTAAATTAAATTGAAATTCTTCAGCAATATTTTGTCGATTCAAATGTCCATAGTAAATCATTGGAATATCATGTTCAGTTAAATGAGAAGGCGAATTCGCTTGATCATTATTATCACCAACAGTTGTCATTCGATTTGTAAATGTCGTTGGTACTCTTAACACTTGACTCAATTGATCGATCATATCACTAGCTAAATTGTCATTCATAGGTTGATTAGTTTGAATAACTTGTGATAAATTTTGAAGATCTCGTTCTAATTCTTCATCGAATTGTCTTTCATTAAATAAATTTGCATTTGTATCTGTTATCATATCATTATCATCATCATCATCATCATCATCATCATCACCAGTTTGCTCATGTAAATTTTGAGCTTGTTGTTCTTTTTGTGTTTCTTTATTCATAACTTCATTTAAAACACGTTGAAATGTCATAGGATCAATGATGGAACCAGCTTGAAAACGATATGGAACAGTTTTGATTGGTGAATCATCAAGATCAATATTATCAAGATTATAACGTCTTGATGGATTGTTATGTATAGAAGAAGAAGATTTATCTTCATTTACTTGTTCAATTTGATTGATAGGTAAATTCGCCATATTCTATTGAATATTTTAATATAAAGAAATTATCTAAAAAATAATTATATTGTTAATATATTAAGTCATCTACTATGAAAGAAAGTATATTATTTCAAAATATAGTATATATATATATCTAAAACAATGTCGAAACTAATCTTGATGGTTTCAAACTGTTTGTCACATTACTATTATATGATTATGTATTTTAGTTTCCAGACACTCACACCTGTGCATGTACTTAACAAAGTTGATTACGAATGTTGTCATATTTATTTCAAACTACACACTATAATCAAACTTTTATTATTCTCATGTTCATCGTTATTGTCACTTTTCAATATAAAGAGCGTATGTTTATCATTGTTTTTATTGTTTTTGTTGTTGTAGTAGTTGTGGTAGTAGTTGTAGTTGTTGTTGGTGTTGTAATTGTTGTAGTTGTAGTTGTAGTAGTAGTAGTTGTTGTTGTTGGTGTCTATAGTTATCAAGAGAAGATCACATCTTTCTTTATATTATAACAATAAAAATCTTTAATTTTACCTTTTCTTCACTTTGTTTTTGGATTTTAGAACCGAGTCTGGTTGAAAAGAATTTGTTTTTCATATATGTCATAATGGAAACTTGATGATTTTGGTTGGTTACTTGCGTAGATTTATCTTCTGTAGTTATTCGGTTGAAATGAATCTATTTGCCACATCCATTCGGTTTATATAGATCTATTTCTCTGTCCACTTGGTTCGAGTGGGTTCATTTTTCCTCTCCACTTAGTCTGAGTGGATCTCTCCATATCCACTCCGCTCGAGTGGATCTATCCCATTTCCACTCCACTCGAGTGGATCTATTCCATTTCCACTCCACCCGAGTGGATCCATTGCATTTCCACTCTGCCCGAGTGGATCTCTCCATATCCACTCCGCCCGAGTGGATCCATTGTATTTCCACTCCACTCGAGTGGATCTTTCTCTATCCACTCCGCCCGAGTGGATCTGTCGTATTTCCACTCCACCCGAGTGGATCCATTGTATTTCCACTCCACTCGAGTGGATCTTTCTCTATCCACTCCGCCCGAGTGGACCTACTCTCGATGTCTATATAAACGACGGTTCACCGCACATTTCCTTCATTTCTTCATCGACACTAATCTTGACAACAACTCAACGCTTGGCTTACTCTCCATTTGGTTATCTGTCATCGGAACAACTTTGGTATGTTTATGTTTTAGTTAGGGAGATCTTCATCTGATGTATCTTTTCATTTGAATCGAATGATTTCTGTTTTTATGTTCTAGATTATAATCATTATTTTATAAAATATTATAAAATGTCATCTTCGACAAAATATTCTGCTGAACGAATTGCTATTGCTGAGGAACAACAGCGACAAGTATTTATACCTATTTTCAACTCTTTTTGATTACTCATACAAATCTGTGTTTATCTTTTCTGTATTTAGATCCAAGAAATTATCCGCAAAAAGGATTTTCTTCTTCATGTCGTTTTATCAAAAGACAAAAAGGTAAAAAACGAATTGCTACGTGATATAGACTAAGAAATATCTTTAACCTTCAACTATTTATATTCATTCTTATGAATTTAGTTTATTCTCCCATTCTCTCGTCGTCCGATTAATATGGGCTTAGATCCATTTATCGATGAACATGATCCATCATTGATCATACGCGTTGCTGGGGTGATGGATCTTCGAATGGATTCTAGTCCAATCCATCCAAATAAAAAAATTATCAGAATCATCGATGAAACGTAAGTGTAATCAGCATTTATCACTGAAGAAAAATTATATTTTAATTATCTCTAATCGGTTTTCTTTTCTATTTTCCAATAGAATCGACAATTTCCATGATTTTCGTGCATTAATACCACGAAAATAACATTTTTTCTCTTTTCTCTTTTTTCTTTTCTTTTCCTTGTCCTATGTACATAAACTCCGTATAATTTGTGTTGCATTTTCCATTTAGAAATACAAAAACAACTTCATCAAAACTAAACACATTCATTTTTCTAATACTAACCTCCTACTATACCTATTCTCTACTTCTAGATTAAAAACTTCTATTAAAAACATTCATACAAACGCACAAAACGACACCTGCTTCGAATGAAATCTAGATTATGCTAGCTGTTCTCACGTATATTTTTGTTTGAATCAAATAATATGAATGTATTATTGTAGATATTTTAATCTAAAACTCATTCATGCCTTCATCAAATCATCGATCATCGAGTACATACAGATCAAGACGTACATCGACTCATACACAGACATCAACTCCTCGATCAACCAGTGTACCACAACGACAATTTATTATCGTTCTCACAAATCATCCTGATTTATTGAGAGAAACTGTAGCGCTTCAACCAGAGGTAAAATCATGTCAATAGCTAAAACACTCCTATTTTTATTTATTCTAGAGGCGACAACGAATGCAAACAACAGTTGCTAATCAAAATGGTTCTATTCGTCATGAAACTGTGAATCATAATAATGACATTCGTGAACAAATATTGAATACTCTTTTACAACTTGAATTAGGCGTAGCAACTGGTGATTATCTCTCTCGTACTCGTCAAGGAAATCCAATACAATTTGTATTTGATATGTCACGTATTGACTCATCAAATCAATCCGATCAAGTGTGAATAACATCGAGATTATTTTTCTTTCGTTTTTGTTGTGTGTTATCCATATCTTTATGTTAAACAAACATCGACATACACATAGATGTCGATCAGTAGTTATATGTATTTTTTGAAATATCATTCTTCTATTGTAGATTATCACAAACATTTTTCATGTCTTCATCAAATACACATGTCAATAGTGAACTACCACGAAACAATATCATATTTCCATGTTTTATTATTACAGTTACGAATTATCCTCATTTGATACAACCAATACAACAATATCAAATACCAAATCAGGTAGAATATAAACTGATTGAAGAAGACTGAATACCATATCTTTGTATTATTTTCTTCTATTTCTAGTATTCACAACGACCATATCAGGGAGCAGTACTTATACCAGGTGTACCCGTTCATTTTGGAACCAATCGTACTGAAGAACATGAACGATTATTACGTAATACACTACGATTCCGAATCCAAGAAATTATGCAAGATTATCTTCGATTATCTATACGACCATCTCCATTTCATCTGATTTTCCATATATCTGAAATGCGATCAACTACTTAAGCCACATAAAACCTATCATTTCTTTTTGTACAGTTATCATTTATTCTGAATATTCGAGAGTGTACACTTACATAAATTACTTTTGTGAAAAACTAGTGAAAGCGAGAAACAGTTAGCTTAACACTTTGTATAATTCTAGATTAAATATTCATGCCGACATAAAAAATAGTCCAAGTATGAAATTCAACTCATCTTATATGAATAATGGTAAATCAACATCTGATCGTCACCATCATAAGCAATCATTCAACGCAACTGAACAACAACAAAAAGAAAACAAAACGAAATGTCGTATGATGCTTTCAATTAATTATCTCTTTCGTGTACTATGACAAACGATGCTTATATCACATGTCATAACTACCTGATGAGACTGTAAGGTCGAAATCCGGATCGTAGT